AATTTTATCGAAACCTGAATGTTGTAGGCTTCTTTTCTGCAATTTCCCTTTTTCTCGTTCATTCCACGATCATTTCTTTACATTAATATATGAGTTGTAAATGTAGCGTCTAATTTTACGTTAAATCAATTTCAAAACCACACTGAACGCAATCTAGACAAACCAATCAGCTTGAATGATCGTATTTGACCTTGTAAAAGTTATGAAGTTTAGAGTAAGTTTCTCAGTCTTGAAACATGATTCAGAAAACACGAATACATGCGTGTTGACAAATATCATTTGTACCGCTAGTTATTTGTATGACTGGTAACACCATTAATGTTTTTGATCAGGTAAAAGCGTTTTGGAAATGATACTCAAAACTTTAAGTGATGGAATGAACTTTCGAGCGGCTAATTAGCCGCCGCTCAGTGTCTTTAGTTTAATTTCTGCGGAACTGAAAGTTCGCGGTTTTTACGAAATCGCGCCGAAAATCGTGAAATCAGGCAGTCAGCCAAGTTATAAAAGCAGAGGGATGTTTCAAAATATCAAAATAAATAAACATTCTCAAACTCACCAGGCCGAAGACACCAATAATCTGAACACCTACTTGTAGACTCCAGCCACAGCAGCAAGTTTTCACCATGATCGGAGTTGATAAGTCGAAATTACTATTCTGAACGTCAAACTCAACTGAGGTAAGACGTAGCTGCTGGATGTTTTTAAAACTTTCACTTTAGAGCGGATCTGTTCCAACAAATTCCTCTTTGTACTTTTCCGTACTGATATTGATAAATATCCCACGTTAGGGGCCGACCATTTAACTTTTGAGAGGGGGGGGTGGGTAATTTTGAAAAAAATTTTCCTGCAAGCGCTTGTTGGAAGAAAAAAATTGCATGTAGCCCAAATTTAACAGAAAAAAAGAGCATTTAGAACGGAAAAAATATCCTGTACAGCAGATTGCTAGAAAAATTTCTTCATGACCAGAAATCACCCACCCCCCCTCACTCAAAAGTTAAATGGTCGGCCCTTAAAACATGCAGATTATTGCTCGGTTGAACAATCAGTGGCTTGCAGTAATTTCCGTAAATTAAGGTAAGTAAAAATGCAGCCAAGCTTGTGTCACCATCGCCTTATTTAGGCTTTACAAGAGAAGCTTTCCTTGTAACTTTAACAAACTCAAGTTTGCAAGCGATTCTACATAACTTAGGTTGCTAGAAAAGTTGAATATTTAACCAGTATAAATTGTGTTACCGAAACTAGCAAGTTTTAGTTCAACACACACCACGGCCACTTGTAAATAAATTTGAATAGAAGGAAGAAAAATATTCAGTCTCCGCCGAGAGCTGATTTTTGTAATTAAGCGAATGAATGTGGTACAATGATTTTTTTCCCGTGTTTTTATTGTATACGAAAGTCTCTAAACAGACATGGTAGCATTACATCTTCCAAATACTAAATTTCATGGCGATCACGGCGGTGAAAACCATCGTCATGACAAGTTTCCGATTCATTGCCCATGACGTAATGATAGTGTTTGAAACGCAACAAAAGTTTTGTTTTGTTTTACGTTTTTCTTCCCTGTTTAATGCTACAGTTCCTTTCACTCAGTAATAAAGTTATTTTACTTTACGCACGTAAGAACAGTAAAAGGCCTTTTTTTTTTGATACGGTAGTCACAGGGCATTGTATAGAATAACGTCGAGCAGGAGAAGAAAAAAATCTGCGATCACTTCTTATTCGTTCCTAGATACAAACCATTTTATAACATATCGCGGTCGCAATTCCGGGCTATTTCCGAAGGAGCTACTATGGTGAAAATTGTACATATGCATCCATAACCATACGTTTATGGATCGATTTTTCATTTTCGTCTTCGAGTAACTTCAATTATCATAACAGAAAGGGAAGATCAGACAAAAGAACAATTGCACCAGTGCACGAGTTGTATACATTGTTTCGCCGTATACATCGCAGCTTCTGTAATACGAAAATTTTGTAGAAGCTGATCATGAGTTTGATTTATGCAGATGGGAGTTCATTTGTGTTTTACGGGAACAAGTATCACTCCGATTCCAGCACAGGCGGCCCAAGCTCTCTTTGAGAACCGCACAAGGAACAAAATTTGCATATCGATTTATAAGGATTTGTCTGGGATTTTCTACAAGATAGCCATAGAGATAGTTAAAAGCGAAAATATTAAATAAAAATGGCTTACCTTATTCCATACGTGTGTTGCTTGCTCCTGGTGTCGTTATTTTATCGATTTCACTTGATTTAAGCGGTTTTTTTTAATCCTGGTTTTCTCTTAAATCAAGTGAAATCGGTAAAATAACGACACCAGGAGCAAGCAACACACGTATGGAATAAGGTAAGCCATTTTTATTTAATATTTTCNGAATATCTAACCAGTATAAATTGTGTTACCGAAACTAGCAAGTTTTAGTTATCACACACCACGGCCACTTGTAAATAAATTTGAATAGAAGGAGGAAAAATATTCAGTCTTCGCCGAGAGCTGATTTTTGTAATTAAGCGAATGAATGTGGTACAATATTTTTTTGCCGTGTTTTTATTGTATACGAAAGTCAGTCTAAACAGGCACGGTAGCATTACATCTTCCAAATACTAAATTTCATGGCGATCACGGCGGTGAAAACCATCGTCATGACAAGTTTCCGATTCATTGCCCATGACGTAATGATAGTGTTTGAAACGCAACAAAAGTTTTGTTTTGTTTTACGTTTTTCTTCCCTGTTTAATGCTACAGTTCCTTTCACTCAGTAATAAAGTTATTTTACTTTACGCACGTAAGAACAGTAAAAGGCCTTTTTATTGATACGGTAGTCACAGGGCATTGTATAGAATAACGTCGAGCAGAAGAAGAAAAAAATCTGCGATCACTTCTAATTTGTTCCTCGATACAAACCATTTTACAACATATCGCGGTCGCAATTCCAGGCTATTTCCGAAATTTCAGGCTATGGTGAAAATTGTACACATGCATCCATAACAATTCGTTCAATACGTATGATGCACGATCCTCGCAGTAGAGAGCGCTATTTATGCAATAGCGAAAATCTGATATATGAACTTCATATATTCATCATACGTATTTATGACCGCAGCTCAAAATATATGAACTTCATATATTCATCATATCTGATTTATCATCACGGGTTTATTACGAATCAACTTAACGGACTGCTCCTAGTTGGCTTGTTAGCTCAATTGGTGGAGCGCAGCATTAGTATCGCAGAGGTCAGTGGTTCGAATCCCGTACAGGCCTGATTTTTTTCATGCAGGTCTGATTTTCGCGCTCTCTACTGCGACAATGGATCGATTTTTCATTTTCGTCTTCGTATAACTTCAATTATCATAACAGAAAGGGAAGATCAGACAAAAGAACAATTGTACCAGTGCACGAGTTGCATACATTGTTTTGCCGTATACATCGAAGCTTGTGTAAAACGAAAATTTTGTAGAAGCTGATCATGAGTTTGATTTATGCAGATGGGTTATCATTTGTGTTTTACGGGAACAAATATCACTCCGATTTCAGATGCCTGAAATTTCTGACGGAGACTGGCCGCTAACTTCTGCAGTGTTCTGTCCAAAAAGTAGAACATAAGCCTGAAGAATGAATTCCAATATATATTTATTTTCATTCTTACTACATATGATTCGCTTCACAGATCAAACTGTACTTAATCTATGTTGATAAACGATAGAGGACCACCTAGTATAATGATGAATCGGTAAAAATATTTCCTCAATTCAAATAAGTTGGTCATTCAAAACAAAAACAAATTGAAATAATGGTCAATGATCCCGTGAGTCAGTCACCACCTCCACAGCCACCACCCCCACAGTCACCACCTCCGGAGCCTCCTGCAGAATGCCCTCCACAACCTCCTACTGG